AACAGTTTATTAGAGTGATATTACTTTGGAAGATGTTTAAAGCCACAAAATACTATTTACGGAAATTTCTTTGAATTTGTAACTTACATACATGTCTATCAATTTATATTTTTCCAAATTTGTTAGCAAATGTTTGCTGGGTTGGTCAGTATATAGTATTTTGGGAGATTTTTTTGTCGTGTCCAAACCATTTTTGGTTTTATGATTATTTTGGCTTGTTTTTTTTATTAATTTGTTTATGAATGAACTCAGTAAAAATCGTGCATTGATCTCTGGAAGATTAAAAAATGTACGATTTTGTATATTTGACTTAAGATAAATAGCTTATAATGAAGTAGAAAAACAAAAGAACATGATTGCATTAAGAAATTAAGAACATTTATAGGTTATTTACAAAATTTGTAAATGCACTAGGGGGCAGGAAAAATATTTCTTGATAAAATTTCAAATGGCAATGCGTTAACCATTGGATTCATAACAATTTATCAAAGGTTTATAAGACAGTTTTTCATACAAAATTGGTTCCTTTGATAACTTATTATGAATAATGCTGTAAGAAGACAGGTGTTTGGGGGTAAATATTAATGGCGTGTAGTTGTTCAGATTTGAACAATAAATCATCTTCATTAATCTTCACTAAGTAGTTACTCACATTAATCTCACTCTCATAGATATCCTTACTCTATTTTTTCTAATCCTTAAAACCAACTTATACTTTCAAATATACATAATTAATGGTAAGGTCACCTTTTTCCTAAAACTAAGTAACACCAGCAGAAGAAACACAAATGAACAAATCTGTCAAAAAGAAAATAAGAATCTTCTAAAATAATATTATTCCTTTAGATTTTTTAACACCAATTAACCATAATCTTCAAGTAGTTAAGCATACAACAAATTTTTAGAAAACCAAACAAATAAGAAACACTTCCGACAACGACAACATCATATGATTGACCCATATTTGCAACAGATATAGGAGAATAGCAACAAACAGACACACTCGAAAGAAAAACACTGTAAAAACTATAAAAACAAGATGTTGTCCATGCCTTTACGTAAATAAATTTGAAAAAAAAAATATTTTGTTTTTAAAATCATAGAAAAACAAATATATTTAATAATTATGTGTTAAAGAAGAAAGGTTGAGAAAGAAATTAATATATTTCAAGAAATAGAAGAACAAAATATAGGAAGAAAGAAAAACATTTTTTAGACAAGTTCAGAAAGGGCTGGGTAGGTAGCCCAAGGGAAAGATTTAAAATTAATATACTAATATACTTATAATCCAAACTATGGACTCAAGACTTATCTAGAGGCAATACTTAAGACTACTCTATTGACAAGACAAGCGACTGACCTATAGACTCTAAAATCAAAACTACAGACTGATATATAGACATGACTATATACTGATGTATATTCAAGACTATAGACTAATCTATAACCAAGACTACAGTTTGATAGTCAAGAATATTGATTGATCTACAGTCAAGACTATAGACTGATCTATAGTAACGACTATAAACTAATCAATAGCAACGATTATAAACTGATTTATAACAGTCTATAGTCCAGACTATAGACTAATCTTTAGTTAAGCCTATAGGCTAATCTATAGTCTAGTCTATAGGCTAATCTATAATCATGAGTATAGACTAATCTATAATGAAGACTATAGACTGATCTACAGTCAAGACTATAGACCGATCTATAGTCAAGAATATAGACTTAGTCTATAGTCAAGACTATAAACCTAGTCCTAGACTATAGACCGATCTATAGTCAATACTATAGACCGATCTATGGTGCATAGTAAAGACTATAGAATGATCTATATTCAAGACCATAGACTGATCTATAGTCAAGACTATAGACGGATATATAGTCAAGACTATAGACTGATCTATAGTCAAGACTATAGATTGACCTGCAGTCAAGACTACAGATTAGTCTATAGTCAAGCCTATAGGCTTCTCTATCGTCCTGACTATATAATGGTCTATAATCAATACTATAGACTAATCTATAGTCAAGACTATAGACTGACCTATAGTCAAGACTATAGACTGATCTATAGTCAAGACTATAGACTCATCTATAGTCAAGACTATAGACTGATCTATAGTCAAGACTATAGACTGATCTATAGTCAAGACTATAGACTCATCTATAGTCAAGACTATAGACTGATCTATAGTCAAGACTATAGACTGATCTATAGTCAAGACTATAGACTGATCTATAGTCAAGACTATAGACTGATCTATAGTCAAGACTATAGACTGATCTATAGTCAAGACTATAGACTGATCTATAGTCATGACTATAGACTGATCTATAGTCAAGACTATAGACTTATCTATGGTCAGGACTATAGGCTGATCTATAGTCAGGACTATAGGCTGATCTATAGTCAGGACTATAGGCTGATCTATAGTCAAGACTATAAACCGATCTATGGTCCAGACTATAGACTGATATATAGTCCAGACTATAGACTGTTCTATAGTCAAGACTATAAACCGATCTATGGTCCAGACTATAGACTGATCTATAGTCCAGACTATAGACTGTTCTATAGTCCAGACTATAAACCGATCTATGGTCCAGACTATAGACTGATCTATAGTCCAGACTATAGACTGATCTATAGTCCAGACTATAGACTGATCTATAGTCCAGACTATAGACTGATCTATAGTCCAGACTATAGACTGATCTATAGTCCAGACTATAGACTGATCTATAGTCCAGACTATAGACTGATCTATAGTCCAGACTATAGACTGATCTATAGTCTAGACTATAGACTGATCTATAGTCAAGACTATAGACTGATCTATAGTCAAGACTATAGACTGATCTATAGTCCAGACTATAGACTGATCTATAGTCCAGACTATAGACTGATCTATAGTCCAGACTATAGACTGATCTATAGTCCAGACTATAGACTGATCTATAGTCCAGACTATAGACTGATCTATAGTGCAGACTATAGACTGATCTATAGTCAAGACTATAGACTGATCTATAGTCAAGACTATAGACTGATCTATAGTCAAGACTATCGACTGATCTATAGTCAAGACTATAGACTGATCTATAGTCAAGACTATAGACTGATCTATAGTCAAGACTATCGACTGATCTATAGTCAAGACTATAGTCTGATCTATAGTCAAGATTATAGACTGATCTATAGTCAAGATTGTAGACTGATCTATAGTCAAGATTATAGACTGAGCGATAGTCTAGACTATAGGGGGATTTAAAGCCAGACTATAGACGGATCTATAGTCACGACTATAGACTGATCAATAGTCAAGACTATAGATTGATCTATAGTTAAGACTATAGGCTGATCTCTAGTCAAGACTATAGACTGATCTATAGTCAAGACTATAGACTGATCTATAGTCAAGACTATAAATTAATATATGTTCAAGATTATAGACTGACCTACATTCAAGACTATAGACTGACCTACAATCATGACTATAGACTCATCAAGACTATAGATTGATATATAGTCAAGTCTATAGATTGATCTAAAGCCAAGACTATAGATTGATCTATAGTCAAAACTATAAATTTAAAATGTTAATACAATAAATATAATTATATTTTGTCTCCAAGGTATACTTCTCCCTATTAGCAACTGCTAATAGACACACACACATTTTCCGTGGACTGTCTTTAGCTTTTGACGAAATACACTCATCAACATTTTGTTATGAGTTGAAAAGTATTTAACAATGTTTTACACACAAAAACTAATAAAAATTCAATAGATTGCGTTATAAAAATTCTTAAGAAAAACAAAAATTGCATAAAACTTTTGTAAAGGAATTTTTGAAAAAAAAAAAACTAAACATAAAATAAAATTTACATACATACATATAAAAATTTATTCTAAAACTTGCTCATTAATTTAATTGCAGATTGTGATCGCAATTCTATTAAAAGTATTTTAACGAGTTATTTTCAAATTTCGTTTATTACCTTAAAAAGCAAGCAATTTTTTGCTTTTATTTGCTTATAAAAACGTTTTATGTGTTTTTCATTAGTTTTTCTGATGGAAAATCTAACACATGTTTGAATATATATTTTACATGATATTCCGTCTTTTGCTGTTGGGACAATGTTCACAAATGTTATATTTATGGCGTTTGTTGGCTGTAAACTAGATTTTTTGTTGTTTTATGTTTATTTTAAGAATTTTTTATTAGTTAATATGTTTATTTGATAGCATTTTTTGTTTATTTGATAGTGATTTTATTGGCTGCTATAAAATGTTTGCTAACAATATCAGATGATAATAATAGTTGAGATATGATGTTAATGATCATAATGATCATCATTAGCATAAAGATGAAATTGAAAAAATCTTAAATTAATTATTATATATTAATATATTTAGATGTTAAAAGTTATTTAAGGAAATCTATTTAAAACTGTATTTAAGATCGACTCATTTTGATCAGTTAATAACTGATCGTGAAGTAAAATTTCTTAAATAATTAGACAAAATATTCTGCTTTTAAAAATTTACCGTTTTCATTAAATCAACCTCTAAAATTCCAATGGATTTGAAATTCAACTCATATTCCCGTACTTGACAAACACGACAAATTACAAAAGTGCTAACTTGATACTTACAAATCCCCGATAACGATCTAATCTAAATGCACAATCATAAAATAAAATCTCTACCAACTCTTTCTCACGCAAATTATAACGAAAATAAATTACAAACCCAATCTAAAGTCATAAAATAAAAACAACAAACATAAATTTATGTAAAAATCTCAAAGAAACTAGCCCCCTCTTATAAGCTTTCAGATCATAGATCGCGTTCCATCTACAATAATCGTTTTAATTAAATTTACTTTATTTTCTTTCAAATCAGCTTGTAAAAATTCCTCATTTACACATAAATAACAAAAATAATTGGATTTTTTTTCCTCTCTACATCTTTAAATCTCTAATTTCAGTTTCATTCTTTGGCGATGGTTATATATCGATGCCACTGCAGGAGGCAAAAATGTCTACAAATATTCGTGTTAAATTTCGCACACATCAAGAGAATTCATTTGTGTTTATGGCGCATGGTCGTACCGATTACTGTCTAATGCGTTTGGAGGCTGGAGCCATTAGTTTCACCTACAAAATAGAACGCAATGTGGTGCAGGTAAGTAGCAAGACTTAACAAAAAAAAAAACTAAAAGCTTTAATTACAGAAACATTTCTGTTTTTAGTTTTAAATATTTTAACAACTACATTCCTAGTTTTAAAGAGTAAAAATTTAATAGTTTTCTTGCTTTTCATTTCCTTTTCTTGTTCTTAACTCTTTGCAGTTGCGTTCACCTAAAAAACAGAAGCTTAATGATCTCGATTGGCATGATGTGGCCGTACAGCGTTATGAAAATAATATTACTTTACAAGTTGATGGCAATATAATAAGGAAAACATTACCGCCAGAGATGGGTGCTTTAAATGTTCACTTTGGTACATTTTTAGGTGGACCTGGAGAATATTCACCCGAATTTATTAGTGATCTAGGTAGTTTTCGTGGTTGTATATCGGATGTAAGTATGAAATAAATTTGTTTATAGTTCAGTTCTAGTTCAGTTCAAGTTCAGTTCTTCTTCAGTTCTAGTTCAGTTCTAGTTCAGTTCTAGTTCAGTTCTAGTTCAGTTCTAGTTCAGTTCTAGTTCAGTTCTAGTTCAGTTCTAGTTCAGTTCTAGTTCAGTTCTAGTTCTAGTTCAGTTCTAGTTCAGTTCTAGTTCAGTTCTAGTTCAGTTCTAGTTCAGTTCTAGTTCAGTTCTAGTTCAGTTCTAGTTCAGTTCTAGTTCAGTTCTAGTTCAGTTCTAGTTCAGTTCTAGTTCAGTTCTAGTTCAGTTCTAGTTCAGTTCTAGTTCAGTTCTAGTTCAGTTCTAGTTCAGTTCTAGTTCAGTTCTAGTTCAGTTCTAGTTCAGTTCTAGTTCAGTTCTAGTTCAGTTCTAGTTCAGTTCTAGTTCAGTTCTAGTTCAGTTCTAGTTTCAGTTCTAGTTCAGTTCTAGTTCAGTTCTAGTTCAGTTCTAGTTCAGTTCTAGTTCAGTTCTAGTTCAGTTCTATGTCTAGTTCAGTTCTAGTTCAGTTCTAGTTCAGTTCTAGTTCAGTTCTAGTTCAGTTCTAGTTCAGTTCTAGTTTCAGTTCTAGTTCAGTTCTAGTTCAGTTCTAGTTCAGTTCTAGTTCAGTTCTAGTCAGTTCTAGTTCAGTTCTAGTTCAGTTCTAGTTCAGTTCTAGTTCAGTTCTAGTTCAGTTTAGTTCAGTTCTAGTTCAGTTCTAGTTCAGTTCTAGTTCAGTTCTAGTTCAGTTCTAGTTCAGTTCTAGTTCAGTTCTAGTTCAGTTCTAGTTCAGTTCTAGTTCAGTTCTAGTTCAGTTCTAGTTCAGTTCTAGTTCAGTTCTAGTTCAGTTCTAGTTCAGTTCTAGTTCAGTTCTAGTTCAGTTCTAGTTCAGTTCTAGTTCAGTTCTAGTTCAGTTCTAGTTCAGTTCTAGTTCAGTTCTAGTTCAGTTCTAGTTCAGTTTAGTTCAGTTCTAGTTCAGTTCTAGTTCAGTTCTAGTTCAGTTCTAGTTCAGTTCTAGTTCAGTTCTAGTTCAGTTCTAGTTCAGTTCTAGTTCAGTTCTAGTTCAGTTTCTAGTTCAGTTCTAGTTCAGTTCTAGTTCAGTTCTAGTTCAGTTCTAGTTCTGTTCAGTTCTAGTTCAGTTCTAGGTTCAGTTCTAGTTCAGTTCTAGTTCAGTTCCTAGTTCAGTTCTAGTTCAGTTCTAGTTCAGTTCTAGTTCAGTTCTAGTTCAGTTCTATGTTCAGTTCTCGTTCAGTTCTAGTTCAGTTCTAGTTCAGTTCTAGTTCAGTTCTAGTTCAGTTCTAGTTCAGTTCTAGTTCAGTTCTAGTTCAGTTCTAGTTCAGTAGTTCAGTTCAGTTCAGTTCTAGTTCAGTTCTAGTTCAGTTCTAGTTCAGTTCTAGTTCAGTTCTAGTTCAGTTTCTAGTTCAGTTCTAGTTCAGTTCTAGTTCAGTTCTAGTTCAGTTCTAGTTCAGTTCTAGTTCAGTTCTAGTTCAGTTCTAGTTCAGTTCTAGTTCAGTTCTAGTTCAGTTCTAGTTCAGTTCTAGTTCTAGTTCAGTTCTAGTTCAGTTCTAGTTCTAGTTCTAGTTCAGTTCAGTTCAGTTCAGTTCTAGTTCTAGTTCAGTTCTAGTTCTAGTGCTAGTTCAGTTCTAGTTCAGTTCTAGTTCAGTTCTAGTTCAGTTCTAGTTCAGTTCTAGTTCTAGTTCAGTTCTAGTTCTAGTTCAGTCTAGTTCTAGTTCAGTTCTAGTTCTAGTTCTAGTTCTAGTTCTAGTTCAGTTCTAGTTCTAGTTCAGTTCTAGTTCAGTCTAGTTCAGTTCTAGTTCAGTTCTAGTTCAGTTCTAGTTCAGTTCTAGTTTCAGTTCTGTTCAGTTCTAGTTCAGTCTAGTTCAGTTTTAATTCAGTTCTAGTTCAGTTTTAGTTCAGTTCTGGTTCAATTCTATTTTATCATGATCTGAATAAATCTGAAAAATCATTGAAATTTCCTTTTCTCTTTTAGGTATTTTACAATAACATCAATGTCATAAAAGAGGCCAAAGAAGGTACAGGTCATACCGACAGCAAGAGAGTATCATGGACCTGTAGCACTGAGTTTGAGGGGACAGTTAAGGATAGTATAAGTTTTCTGAATAGTGATTCCTATGCTCTCATGTCTAAAGATTCACAGGCAACAGGAGAAACGTAAGTATTTTCGAAAATAAACATTTTAAACAATTAAAAGCAAACATCAAAGACAATTTCTATTACAGATTATTTTTAAAATTTCGCACTATGGAAGAGACTGGTGTAATCTTTTACAATGGCGGTTTTGATTTTGTTTTGCTGGAAATTGAAAATAAACAATTAAATTTCAATTTTAATAAAGAAGGCAGTTTAATTAAACTAATAGCCAATGAGACGGTCTCCGATGGCCGATGGCATAAATTGATTTTGCGGTATAATGCCGTAATGGCAGAAATGATTTTGGATGATAAAATGTATCGTGGCACACATGATAATGACACTAAAGCTACTATAAATTTAGAGAAAAGTGTTTTCATCGGTGGTGTGCAGGAGGATATGCGTAGACGTTTGTGGCACAAGGGTTTGCGCATCAATGATCACAGTTTTATGGGTTGTATGAAAGATATTCAGATAAATAATTTGGATTTGGGCTTTCCACAAATGAATAAATCACAGCATTTGGCCTTGAACTGTATATGGAAATATCCGTGTGTGGAGTATGAACCCTGTCTTAAGAGTGGCTATTGTAATCAGTATGGAGTGGATGAGTTTATATGCTACTGCGATCAGTCGTATTGTATTAAGGCCGATTTTCAGGGACCTTATAAGGTATTTGCTGTTTAATGCAGATATAATTTCTTGATATTTATTTTCTATTATTTTGGTAGATTTTCACGGAAATCAGTCCCACTGTGGAGTTATTATATGTCTCTCCCGTAGAACTGTTGGAAGGCGGCACTGTTTTTCTTTCACCTCACTTTCTGGACGTTCTTTTGGATACCCGTAAAACTTCGGGTATTTCTGATTCATCCATAGTTTTCCATGTGGTGCAACAGCCTCGCTATGGTCAATTGTTGCAATTCTCTCCCGAGAAAAATAACTTCGTTACTTGTCGCACTTTCAATATGGTAGACTTATCCACCGATAAGGTTAAATATGTACACAATGGTATGGAAAATTTCAATGATCATGCCACCCTAGACATGCAAATCTATGGCGATATACACAAAGTTCCTGAGAACCTTTTAGGCAAACACCGTTTTATGCTACATGCAAATATCACTCCGATCAATGATCCGCCCCAGCTGAAAGTACCATCCAATAAAATTCTTCGAGTTATAGAAGGTATAGAAAAGAGCTTGGATGTAGATTTGTTTAACATACAAGATCCCGATAGTCCTGCTAATGTTCTGGTCTATACCATTTTACCCTCAACAAATCCTCAAGAGGCTTTTGGACGTTTTATGGTAAATGGCCAATCGACCATGACATTTTCCCAAGCCGATGTCAACATGGGTAAAGTCACATTTCTATATAATGCCACAACTTCGGAAACCTTTAGTTACAAATTGCTAATGCAAGTATCGGATGGTATTGAAACTAGTGATACCGTGTTCCTTTCCGTTTCCGTACATCCAATGGAATTGGGGTTGGTTAACAATACCGGCCTCATAATGATACACAAATCTTCATTATTGATAACACCCTCGAATTTATCCATTGGCACTACAACAGTTGTAGAAAATATTGATATCCGCTATGATATAGTAAAGCCACCTCAGTATGGTTCCATTCAACGGCTGAGACAGGTAGATGCCACCTGGGTTAATGTCGACTGGTTTAGTGATAGTCAAATGTTGTTGGGTCACATACGTTACGTGCACAATCATGATTTGCCTTGGCAAGATGAATTTAAGGTAGGAGGGATTTTAGGTTTTGAAGAATTCCATTTTATAATAATTTTATTTGTATTTTCCAGTTTATTGCCTCGTATGGTTTCATTACTACCCAGACATTTGATTTTCGCATTATTTTTACACGCCTACGCATTAATTCTCGCAAACCTTCTATAATTGCGATAAATGGATCCCGAGAATTTATATTGACGAGCGATGTGTCCTACGAAACGGTGCCAATTGAGACGTTTCCTCGTAATATTATTTATAAAATTTCGAATCCTACGAAATATGGCAACATTTATGTGGAAGGGTCAAGGAAATTTGCAAAGGTAAGTTCAGATATAGTCCACTTCTAGTTTAGTTCAGTTCTAGTTTAATTCTAGTTCAGTTCTAGTTCAGTTCTAGTTCAGTTCTAGTTCAGTTCTAGTTCAGTTCTAGTTCAGTTCTAGTTCAGTTCTAGTTCAGTTCTAGTTCAGTTCTAGTTCAGTTCTAGTTCAGTTCTAGTTTTTCAGTTCTAGTTCAGTTCTAGTTCAGTTCTAGTTCAGTTCTAGTTCAGTTCTAGTTCAGTTCTAGTTCAGTTCTAGTTCAGTTCTAGTTCAGTTCTAGTTCAGTTCTAGTTCAGTTCTAGTTCAGTTCTAGTTCAGTTCAGTTTCTAGTTCAGTTCTAGTTCAGTTCTAGTTCAGTTCTAGTTCAGTTCTAGTTCAGTTCTAGTTCAGTTCTAGTTCAGTTCTAGTTCAGTTCTAGTTCAGTTCTAGTTCAGTTCTAGTTCAGTTCTAGTTCAGTTCTAGTTCAGTTCTAGTTCAGTTCTAGTTCAGTTCTAGTTCAGTTCTAGTTCAGTTCTAGTTCAGTTCTAGTTCAGTTCTAGTTCAGTTCTAGTTCAGTTCTAGTTCAGTTTCTAGTTCAGTTCTAGTTCAGTTCTAGTTCAGTTCTAGTTCAGTTCTAGTTCAGTTCTAGTTCAGTTCTAGTTCAGTTCTAGTTCAGTTCTAGTTCAGTTCTAGTTCAGTTCTAGTTCAGTTCTAGTTCAGTTCTAGTTCAGTTCTAGTTCAGTTCTAGTTCAGTTCTAGTTCAGTTCTAGTTCAGTTCTAGTTCAGTTCTAGTTCAGTTCTAGTTACAGTTCTAGTCAGTTCTAGTTCAGTTCTAGTTCAGTTCTAGTTCAGTTCTAGTCAGTTTCCTAGTTCAGTTCTAGTTCAGTTCTAGTTCAGTTCTAGTTCAGTTCTAGTTCAGTTCTAGTTCAGTTCTAGTTCAGTTCTAGTTCAGTTCTAGTTCAGTTCTAGTTCAGTTCTAGTTCAGTTCTAGTTCAGTTCTAGTTCAGTTCTAGTTCAGTTCTAGTTCAGTTCTAGTTCAGTTCTAGTTCAGTTCTAGTTCAGTTCTAGTTCAGTTCTAGTTCAGTTCTAGTCAGTTCTAGTTCAGTTCTAGTTCAGTTCTAGTTCAGTTCTAGTTCAGTTCTAGTTCAGTTCTAGTTCAGTTCTAGTTCAGTTCTAGTTCAGTTCTAGTTCAGTTCTAGTTCAGTTCTAGTTCAGTTCTAGTTCAGTTCTAGTTTCAGTTCTAGTTCAGTTCTAGTTCAGTTCTAGTTTCAGTTCTAGTTCAGTTCTAGTTCAGTTCTAGTTCAGTTCTAGTTCAGTTCTAGTTCTAGTTCAGTTCTAGTTCAGTTCTAGTTCAGTTCTAGTTCAGTTCTAGTTCAGTTCTAGTTCAGTTCTAGTTCAGTTCTAGTTCAGTTCTAGTTCAGTTCTAGTTCAGTTCTAGTTCAGTTCTAGTTCAGTTCTAGTTCAGTTCTAGTTCAGTTCTAGTTCAGTTCTAGTTCAGTTCTAGTTCAGTTCTAGTTCAGTTCTAGTTCAGTTCTAGTTCAGTTCTAGTTCAGTTCTAGTTCAGTTCTAGTTCAGTTCGTTCAGTTCTAGTTCAGTTCTAGTTCAGTTCTAGTTCCAGTTTCTAGTTCAGTTCTAGTTCAGTTCTAGTTCAGTTCTAGTTCAGTTTCTAGTTCAGTTCTAGTTCAGTTCTATTCAGTTTAGTTCAGTTCTAGTTCAGTTCTAGTTCAGTTCTAGTTCAGTTCTAGTTCAGTTCTAGTTCAGTTCTAGTTCAGTTCTAGTTCAGTTCTAGTTCAGTTCTAGTTCAGTTCTAGTTCAGTTCTAGTTCAGTTCTAGTTCAGTTCCAGTTCAGTTCTAGTTCAGTTCTAGTTCAGTTCTAGTTCAGTTCCAGTTCAGTTCTAGTTCAGTTCTATTTCAGTTCTAGTTCAGTTCTAGTTCAGTTCTAGTTCAGTTCTAGTTGAGTTCTAGTTGAGTTCTAGTTCAGTTCTAGTTCAGTTCTAGTTCAGTTCTAGTTCAGTTCTAGTTCAGTTCTAGTTCAGTTCTAGTTCAGTTCTAGTTCAGTTCTAGTTCAGTTCTAGTTCAGTTCTAGTTCAGTTCTAGTTCAGTTCTAGTTCAGTTCTAGTTCAGTTCTAGTTCAGTTCTAGTTCAGTTCTGGTTCAGTTCTAGTTCAGTTCTGGTTCAGTTCTAGTTCAGTTATAGTTCAGTTCTACTTCAGTTATAGTTCAGTTCTTCTTCAGTTCTGGTTCAGTTTTAGTTCAGTTCTTTTGTCACCACTAATATTTTTTCTTCACTCTTGTAGGAAATGGACTCTTTTACCCAACTTGACATCGATAAAAATCGCATACGCTATAAAACTCATCACAATTCCTATTCCAGTTTCTCCGATTATCTCGAATTTATTGTCTCTGTAGCTGAGTGTGATGATGTAGTGGGTCAATTGAAAATCATGTTTACACCTTTGGAGGAGTTAACCAGTAAAATGTCGTATCAAACACCCGAAATACTTCATGTTCAAGAAGGTGATAGAGCATTAATAACAAAAAATCATTTTGAAATACGTTTCAATATCTATGAAAGTCTTAAATTCCTCGTGACCAATAAACCGGAACATGGTACTCTGTGTCGTTACGATGAGCGTGATATGAAACTTTTAACCATAACAGAGTTTACTTTGGAACAATTGTTTTTGAATGAAATTTACTATTGTCATGACGACACCGAGTCCACAGATGATTCGTTTGATCTGTTGATCTTATCCAGTGATGATACGGATTTGCAGTTTGTTTCTAACATTGAGGTTCGCATTAAATTGAATAATGATAATCCTCCGTATCGTACTATGGAGCGTATTTTCCATGTTATGCGTGGTGGCATACGTACTTTAAATACAGAGGTTTTGCAGTATTTGGATGCTGATGTTAACACCAATAGTTCAGATATTCATTATATCCATATATCCTGTACAAATGGTGCCTTTTATAAGTCGGGTCATTTTGTGGATAGTTTTACCCAAGATGATATTGCCAATCGTCGCATTATGTTTCAACATAGTGGTGCTGATGTGGGTACAGCTTCGTTTATTGTTACCGATCGCCAGCATGAAGTTAATGGTCTGTTGGAGATACATGCTTCCGATGCTTTTGTTTCTATGCTGCCCACTAATGCCACCATAGTGCAGGAGGGTAAATTTGTTATTTTACGCAATAAAGATTTTATATTGGAAACAAATTTGGATATGAAATTGGATGAGATTTACTATGAGGTTACTAAGCCGGCCTATGGTATCGTTAAGTATTTGGGTAGACCACGGGCAACAGAAGATGGTTCTTCATCTTCTACTTTACATTATAAGTCCTCGAATTTGACTTCTTTGAATAATTTTACACATTTGGATATTGAGAGGGACCGTTTGGTGTATTGGAATACCGAACCCGCTACCATGGATAAAGTGAGGTAAGTGGGAGATCTTGTATTTATGGAGAAAGTATGATTTTATGGGTTTTTTGTTATTTTTATAGGTATCGAGTTCATATTAAGAATATCACAGCCGAGGGTGAGGTTATGTTTCGTATATATCCTTCAGCTTATTGGGAATCTTTGCAAGTAAAGAAGAATCAAACTTTGTATGTGGAAGAGTCAACAAGTGTTTTGATATCGAGAGATATTTTAGAGGTGAGTTTTAACATTTTGGAAAAATATTGGAGGATTGTATTCCGAAAATTTTGAATGATCCACGATATAGTAAGAAAAATTAGTCATACCGTATGATACTGGTGTGTGCCGGGAGTAATAGTGTGTAACAACTGGGGAAGCCATTTCTCCCAACGACAATCGCTATAACGCCATGATTTCGGACTTTTATGGGATGATCTAGTATTTCTCTGGTTCCAGCAGATCTGACAATCAATGTTTTGTGCAAGAGTTTGGCACTTGTATTATCAGTTAACTTTTCGATCTTTATTGGCCGCATTGTAGCTGCGATTTGACGTCTTTAAGTTTTTGCCAAAGATCTATTCTATGACGTTATGGATCCGACCAAGAGTTTTGATTAAATTAATAGTTGATACTTGATTTAGTTAACTCAAATGATCCCAGTTTACCTCAACGATAATATTAAACATTTTTCATTTTCTCCCCTTTAAGGTCGTTCACCCCAACATCTCTCCCGGAGACATAACCTTCCTGGTAACCTCTTCTCCCCTACATGGCTACTTGGAAATGCAATCTATGTCTTTCGATGATGAATACAACTGCAAGGTATTCGATCAATTGGCCATAAATACGGAAAAAATGTTCTACATACAGGCGGGAGTAAATCAATCTACCGATTATTTCGTTTTCGATGTTACCAACGGCATAACATGGCTAAGGAATCTAATGCTACGCATTGTTATCATACCCGAAAAGTTATATATGCATTCGAATGTTATATCTGTGGTAGAGGGTAAGACGGTACAGTTAAGTGCCTCCGATATACAACCATTTTCCGAATACTATAGAGGCAAAATATTGGAATATATTATAACTATAAATCCTACATCGGGTTATATAATGGCTGCCAATTCAAAGGTAAAAAGATTTACACAAAAACAACTGGATCAGGGATCCATTCAATACATACACAATGGCAGTGAAAATTCCACCGATACCATGACTATCATAGCAACGGCACGCAATAAGGAAAGTGAACCTTTTGAATTGGAATTTTCCATAATTCCAGTAAATGATGAACTGCCCATGGTAGTTACAAATACCGGGTTGCAAGTGTGGAATGGAGGAAGATATGTCATACGTTATACGGATTTAAGTAAGTAGAGAAGATTTCAAGTAGTTTGAGAAATTAATTAATTTATTTTTATTCCTTTAGTGGCTCGAGATTATGATACACCCGCTGAAAATCTTACATTTATTATACATCACATCTATGGTGGTTATTTAGCTTATAAAACGGCCCCAGAAAGAAAACTTGAAGCCTTTACCCAGAATGATATAAACAATGAACAGATTTATTTTATACACGACTCCAATTCTCGGCGTAATGAAATGTCTTTTATTGTCACCGATGGTTTATTCAACACCACCGAGCAATTGCTTAATATCGCCATTAAACCCATAGAAATTATCGAGGATCGTAATGAGAATTTACATGTTTTTCCTTTGACTAAAAAACAAATCTTACGTGATCATTTGTTCTTCAAATGTTCCGATGAGGAGAGAGAAATACGTTATAATATTACGGTACCACCTAGTTTGGGTCGTATTATTAATGAGGACATGGAAACGGAAACGGGTTCAGCTCGAGAAGTTTCCGAGTTTACCCAAGATGATATAGATAATGGTCGTATATTCTATGAACATACAGCAGTTATTATAGAATTTCGCATAAATGATTCGTTTTATTTTGATGTTATTGCCGAGCGTAGCGATCGTTTGTTGGATCAGAAATTTAATATTGAAATATCGGTGTCTTCAGGAGGTTTGCTGAGATTTTTACCGGTCTCCAAATTGACCGTAGATGAGGGCGGTTCGGTGCCTATAAAATTGGATTTTTCCAAAATGTTGGAATATTTGAAGACTCGGGCGGGTTTGAATAATCCCGAATTGTATATAGAGGCTTTTCAGAAACCCAGTCATGGCTCTATAGGTTTGGGCCATGAATTTAGACCCCTGCAAAAGTTTCATCCTAGTGATTTCTTTACCAAGAAGGTGTATTATATACACGATCATAGCGATACTTTGGAGGATACGATTTTGATGTCGGTGTACTTGGAACAGGGGTAAGTTGGAGTCTTATATTTATATAGAAAACAATTTTTGATATTTTTCTTTTAACAGCAATATTTTCCTGTGTAATCTCACCATTCCTGTCTCCATAAATCCAATTAATGATCAAATCTTTAAGCTGGTAACACACTCCCCCCAAATGACTGTAGTGGAGGGAGAAAATCGCACTATTACGCGCAATGTGCTCTTAACCGAAGACAAAGACACTCCGCCTGAAGAAATTATCTATGATGTTATGAGTGGCCCCACCTTGGGAGTTTTAAAGAAACTCTCTAAAGATGGCGAGGCCGAGGAATTACTGGCCTATTCCAATCAATTTACCCAGGCAGATATTAACAATGATCGCATAGTCTATGTACATTTTGGAACACCCCAGTCCACTACTTTCTGTTTTACCGTATCCGATGGTAAATTCAATCCAGCCTATGAGGTCTTTACCATCAAAATAGCTCCCATTTCTTTGTTGCCGGCCGATCAACAAACCCCTGTAGAAGTGCAACAGGGTTCTACTACAGCGGTAATGAAATTGGATCATATTGGTTTGAGAACCAATGTTCAACCGGTACGATTAGCCTATAACATAACCAATTCTCCTTTGTATGGCATAATAGTGCTAAAACATCAGCCCACTTTGAGGTTTAATCAACATCTTTTGGAAACGGGCCAGATCAATTATATGCAAACCGATTTGAATAGATCAAATGATACTTTTCAGGTATCAGCTTATGTTCCGGGCACCAATTATGCTGCCACTATAGATGTTTTAGTGCAAGTGGAACCGGTTATCAAAATTACCGATATATCCATGAAGGGTGTAAAGGAGGGAGAAAAGATACGTTTGATGTCTTTATTGGTGGCCGATAATCCTTTATCGTTGAAACTAAATAAATTTAATCCGAAATTTTTAATAACCAAACTGCCCACTACGGGACAAATAAGAAAAATTATACGTAGCACCGGGCTGGCAGCAGATAGTCCCAATGAAAGACCTACAAATACTTTCTCCTATAAGGAATTAAGAAGTGGCGTAGTGTATTTTATACCTTACGAAACGGTGGAGGCAACTGTACAAGATGTGGATAGATTTGATTATCAATTACATATAAAAACAGTACAGCCGGCTCAGGCCTCAGTGAAAATTGTCTATCGGCAAGCTTTGGAAGATAATGGCACGGTTACTAAGGCCGCCACCGATTTCTCTTTAAATTATGTAGCCATTATTTGTGCTCTCATTATATTGCTCATGTGTATTTTGATTATAATGCTGATATTAAAATTCCGTTATTTGAAACGCCACAAGGCAAATATATCCAAAGATCAACCGCCCTCTTTACCCTGCCCACCAGATCTAACTTCAGTTTCACCTCAGCATCATCTAACACATCATCATACGCATCATTATGCCAGCTCAGAGGCTGACTCAGTGCCCGTTACTGGTAACTCAACACCTTTACCTGGTTTTAGTAATATACCTCACTGTAAAATTATACCAGTTGAATCGTATAAACACGACTATCCAGACTATGATCCCGATGAAGATGAAACCGATGATCCCTGTGATGCCCAACAAATGATGCTGCCACAACGCTATAATCCCTATCAATTGGAAAATGACACTTGGAGTTCTTCCTGTGATATGGCAAATGATTTTGGTGGTTACTCTAGTGTACCGCAGAGTACAGGGCAAGCGGCATCAGCCACACCGCCTTCGGCGCCGCCTAGTAATCCCTTGCTAAGGCGTAATCAGTATTGGGTCTGAGCATCACTAATGTTTGTAGGTTTAAGTCACATTGTTCTTTTTTTTCTTCTGTTCGTGCTAATTAGTGCTTTAAAAGTGCCTTTTTAAAACATTTACAAATAAGTACTCATTTAAAACAAAAAAAAAAAAAAAATACTTAATTTATTAATTTTCACTTAATTTTGTTTAAATAATCTTAAGAGTTTTTTCAACACATTTTAATATTAAACGCAATTCGTATTGTTTTAAATTTAAGCCAAATTTGCCAGTGTTGTATGTTTTATTTAAGAGGTTTCTTTTTGTAAAATAATCTAACTTTAAGTTTAAATAATAATTTTAATTGCATTTCTATAAGTAATTATTTAACAGAAATTCTGTTTAAATTGCCATTTCTTCATGTTGCCATAATTTAAATTCTATTCATTTAAGTGGGGGAAAAATGTTATATCATTAGATATAAAATAACCTAAATTATTGTATTTATAATGTTTTAATAACCAGATTTTTTTCATTGGGTTATATGGGGTTCGAAATGAATTGTATTTTTTTACAAACAGCATATCGTAGTTTAAAGTAATCTTAAGTTGTAGTTAAGGAAGTAAGAAACTTTTTATAAAACGAAATAATTTAAAATAAATGACAATAACTTTAAATTAAATGATTAATTTTTGGATGAAAACATAAAAGTCCATTTATTTTGGAAACTAGAAGAGGTAGAGCCAAAACAACGATAATCTGTGATCACTTTTATTTCCCATTAAAAATCGATATTTCCCAATAAAAATCGATTTTTGAAAACATAAAAGTCCATTTATTTTGGAAACTAGAAGAGATAGAGCCAAAACAACGATAATCTGTGATCACTTTTATTTCCCATCAAAAATCGATATTTCCCAATAAAAATCGATTTTTAAAGTGAAAACATAAAAGTCCATTTATTTTGGAAACTAGAAGAGATAGAGCCATAACAGCGATAATCTGTAATCATTTTTATTTCCCATCAAAAATCGATATTTCCAAATAAAAATCGATTTTTTAAGTGAAAACATAAAAGTCCATTTATTTTGGAAACTAGAAGAGATAGAGGCAACACTTTCATTTTCCATCAAAAATCGATATTTTTCAATAAAAATCGATTTTTTGGGTGAAAACATAAAAGTCCATTTTGGAAACTAGAAGAGATAAAGCCATAACAACGATAATCTGCGATCACTTTTATTTTCCATCAGAAATCGATATTTTTACACCAAAAATCGATTTTTTGGCTAAAAATATAAAAGTCCATTTATTTTGAAAACTAGAAGAGATAGAGCCAAAACAACGATAATCTGTGATCACTTTTATTTTCCATCAAAAATCGATATTTTTCAATAAAAATCGATTTTTTGGGTGAAAACATAAAAGTCCATTTATTTTGGAAACTAGAAGAGATAGAGCCAAAACAACGATAATCTGTGATCACTTTTATTTCCCAACAAAAATCGATATTTCCCAATAAAAATCGATTTTTTGGGTGAAAACATAAAAGTCCATTTATTTTGGAAACTAGAAGAGATAGAGCCAAAACAACGATAATCTGTGATCACTTTTATTTTCCATCAAAAATCGATATTTCTTATCAAAAATCGATTTTTTTATGTGAAAACATAAAAGTCCATTTATTTTGGAAACTAGAAGAGAAGAGCCAAAACAACGTTAATCTGTGATCACTTTTATTTCCCATCAAAATTTGATATTTCCCAATAAAACTCGATTTTTTAAGTGAAAACATAAAAGTCCATTTATTTTGGAAACTAGAAGAGATATAGCCAAAACAACGATAATTTGTGATCACTTTTATTTTCCATCAAAAATCGATATTTCTCATCAAAAATCGATTTTTTAGGTGAAAACATAAAAATCCATTTACTTTGGAAACTAGAAGAGATAGAGCCAAAACAACGTTAATCTGTGATCACGTTTATTTCCCATCAAAAATCGATATTTCTTATCAAAATCGATTTTTTAAGTGAAAACATAAAAGTCCATTTATTTTCGAAACTAGAAGAGATAGAGCCATAACAGCGATAATCTGTAATCATTTTTATATCCCATCAAAAATCGATATTTCTCTTCAAAAATCGATTTTTTTAGGTGAAAACATAAAATCCATTTATTTTGGAAACTAGAAGAGATAGAGCCACTTTTATTTCCTATCAAAAATCGTTATTTCCCAATAAAAATCGATTTTTTAAGTGAAAACATAAAAGTCCATTTATTTTCGAAACTAGAAGAGATAGGGCCATAACAGCGATAATCTGTAATCATTTTTATATCCCATCAAAAATCGATATTTCTCTTCAAAAATCGATTTTTTTAGGTGAAAACATAAAATCCATTTATTTTGGAAACTAGAAGAGATAGAGCCACTTTTATTTCCCATCAAAAATCGTTATTTCCCAATAAAAATCGATTTTTTAAGTGAAAACATAAAAGTCCATTTATTTTCGAAACTAGAAGAGATAGAGCCAAAACAACGTTAATCTGTGATCACTTTTATTTCCCATCAAAAATCGATATTTCCCAATAAAAATCGATTTTTTAAGTGAAAACATAAAAGTCCATTTATTTTGGAAACCAGAAAAGATAGAGCCAAAACAACGATAATCTGTGATCACTTTTATTTCCCAATAAAAATCGATTTTTTAAGTGAAAATATAAAAGTCCATTTATTTTGGAAACTAGAAGAGATAGAGTCAAAACAACCATAATCTGTGATCACTTTTATTTTCCATTAAAAATCGATATTTTTCAATAAAAATCGATTCTTTAAGTGAAAACATAAAAGTCCGTTTATTTTGGAAACTAGAATTGATAGAGCCAAAACAGCGATAATCTGTGATCACTTTTATTTTCCATCAAAAATCGATATTTCCCAATAAAAATCGATTTTTTAAGTGAAAATATAAAAGTCCATTTATTTTGGAAACCAGAAGAGATAGAGCCAAAACAACGATAATCTCTGATCACTTTTATTTTCCATCAAAAATCGATATTTCCCAATAAAAATCGATGGTTTAAGTGAAAACATAAAAGTCCATTTATTTTGAAAACTAGAAGAGATAGAGCCAAAACAACGTTAATCTGTGATCACTTTTATTTTCCATTAAAAATCGATACTTTTCAATAAAAATCGATTTTTTAACTGAAAACATAAAAGTCCATTTATTTTGGAAACTAGAAGAGATAGAGTCAAAACAACCATAATCTGTGATCACTTCTATTTTCCATCAAAAATCGATATTTCCCAATAAAAATCGATGGTTTAAGTGAAAACATAAAAGTCCATTTATTTTGAAAACTAGAAGAGATAGAGCCAAAACAACGTTAATCTGTGATCACTTTTATTTTCCATTAAAAATCGATACTTTTCAATAAAAATCGATTTTTTAACTGAAAACATAAAAGTCCATTTATTTTGGAAACTAGAAGAGATAGAGTCAAAACAACCATAATCTGTGATCACTTCTATTTTCCATTAAAAATCGATACTTTTCAATAAAAATCGATTCTTTAGCTGAAAACATAAAAGTCCATTTATTTTGGAAACTAGAAGAGATAGAGCCAAAAACACGATAATCTGTGATCACTTTTATTTCCCATCAAAAATCGATATTTTTCAATAAAAAGCGATTCTTTAAGTGAAAATATAAAAGTCCATTTATTTTGGAAACTAGAAGAGATAGAGTCAAAACAACGATAATCTGTGATCACTTTTATTTTCCATTAAAAATCGATATTTTTCAATAAAAATCGATTCTTTAAGTGAAAACATAAAAGTCCGTTTATTTTGGAAACTAGAATTGATAGAGCCAAAACAGCGATAATCTGTGATCACTTTTATTTTCCATCAAAAATCGATATTTCCCAATAAAAATCGATTTTTTAAGTGAAAATATAAAAGTCCATTTATTTTGGAAACTAGAAGAGATAGAGCCAAAAACACGATAATCTGTGATCACTTTTATTTCCCATCAAAAATCGATATTTTTCAATAAAAAGCGATTCTTTAAGTGAAAATATAAAAGTCCATTTATTTTGGAAACTAGAAGAGATAGAGCCAAAAACACGATAATCTGTGATCACTTTTATTTCCCATCAAAAATCGATATTTTTCAATAAAAAGCGATTCTTTAAGTGGAAATATAAAAGTCCATTTATTTTGGAAACTAGAAGAGATAGAGTCAAAACAACGATAATCTGTGATCACTTTTATTTTCCATTAAAAATCGATATTTTTCAATAAAAATCGATTCTTTAAGTGAAAACATAAAAGTCCGTTTATTTTGGAAACTAGAATTGATAGAGCCAAAACAGCGATAATCTGTGATCACTTTTATTTTCCATCAAAAATCGATATTTCCCAATAAAAATCGATGGTTTAAGTGAAAACATAAAAGTCCATTTATTTTGAAAACTAGAAGAGATAGAGCCAAAACAACGATAATCTGTGATCACTTTTATTTTTCATCAAAAATCGATATTTCTTATCAAAAATCGATTTTTTTAGGTGAAAACATAAAAGTCCATTTATTTTGGAAACTAGAAGAGATAGAGCCAAAACAACGTTAATCTGTGATCACTTTTATTTCCCATCAAAAATCGATATTTCCCAATAAAAATCGATTTTTTAAGTGAAAACATAAAAGTCCATTTATTTTGGAAACTAGAAGAGATAGAGCCAAAACAACGTTAATCTGTGATCACTTTTATGTTCCATCAAAAATCGATATTTCCCAATAAAAATCGATTTTCTGGGTGAAAACATAAAAGTCCATTTATTTTGGAAACTAGAAGAGATAGAGCCAAAACAACGTTAATCTGTGATCACTTTTATTTCCCATTAAAAATCGATATTTCCCAATAAAAATCGATTTTTTAAGTGAAAACATAAAAGTCCATTTATTTTGGAAACCAGAAGAGATAGAGCCAAAACAACGATAATCTCTGATCACTTTTATTTTTCATCAAAAATCGATATTTCCCAATAAAAATCGATTTTTTTTAGGTGAAAACATAAAAATCCATTTATTTTGGAAACTAGAAGAGATAGAGCCAAAACAACGATTATCTGTGATCACTTTTATATCCCATCAAAAATCGATATTTCTCTTCAAAAATCGATTTTTTTAGGTGAAAACATAAAAGTCCATTTATTTTGGAAACTAGAAGAGATAGAGCCAAAACAACGTTAATCTGTGATCACTTTTATTTCCCATCAAAAATCGATATTTCCCAATAAAAATCGATTTTTTAAGTGAAAACATAAAAGTCCATTTATTTTGGAAACTAGAAGAGATAGAGCCAAAACAACGTTAATCTGTGATCACTTTTATGTTCCATCAAAAATCGATATTTCCCAATAAAAATCGATTTTCTGGGTGAAAACATAAAAGTCCATTTATTTTGGAAACTAGAAGAGATAGAGCCAAAACAACGTTAATCTGTGATCACTTTTATTTCCCATTAAAAATCGATATTTCC